ATGAAATATACAGCATGTTGCAATGTTTCGATAACATGTTTCATGTGATATAAGCTAATGAATGGATGAATGATGCTCATGTTTATGAAATGCAAGTGCAATTATGCAAGCCTAACACTAGGGGTGTTACAGGGCCCAGTTCCTGTATCTAATCAACCATGTGCATCATTAGGTGTTGCATAATATCGAAGAAAGACAGCGGGAAGCACATCTCGAGCTGGCAAAGGGTCTTCGCGATGAACTGTTTTAGGCTAGGTAGCTCAGCTTCAACGATGACCTTCTGTGTGGTGCAATTGAAGAAGTAGGACATGCGTGTGATGCCCATCTTCACGTACTCTGGACCGATAGCCCTGATAACAATTAGAAGGAACACCGTGAGCATGACGTGGCAGTCATGTGCGTTGAAGCTAGTTAGTGTGAGGTCCTTCATCGAGACCAGGCTCTTGATGTTGGAAGAGAAACCGGTCGGCACCTTGACACCCCTAAGCCACTGGCACATGGCCCTCTTCTCATCTCTCGTCAGGTTGTAGCTCATGCCCGGAAGGTCAACTTTCTCGCTTTGCGTCGCCAGTGTCGGGTGAATTTTGGACCTGATGTCCTGGTTGACAAGATCCATCCGTGACTTCAGACCATCCTTTGTCTTAGTCTTGATGTCTAGCAGTACGCCAATGGTGCTTTCGAAGACATTCTTCTTGAGGTGCAAGCAGTCGATGGCATGGGGCATATGTAGCTCCTTCCAGTACGATAGGTACTTGAAGAAATACGGCTGCTTCTTAAAAAGAACGAGGGCGATAGGTGGTTCCTCCATCTTATCCCGCTTCCTCTTCTTCCTTGTCATGGTCCCATCTTCCTCTTTCTTCTTCTTCCTAAACTCAACGTCTATGCCCATCACCATGTCAAACACCTTTTGCCTGTACCTCATCCTTTCTGGCTCATCAAGTTGAGGCTCCTCCTGGTTGTCGAAGTACTTATTCATCGTAGCTACCCGGTACCTGTGCTTTTTGATGAGGAATCGCCTATGCCTCATGTACACCATCTTGTTAGATGCACTAAGGTAAGTGTAGTAGGTACCGTCAATGCAAACTACACAACCTGACTTACCTTTGATCTGCCCCGACAGTGAAAAGAGACCAGGGTAATCGGTGATGGTGACAAAGATGTTGGCTTTTAGAGTGACCTCCTTCTTTAGGAACGCATCCATCATCTTGATACCATCTTCCCATAGTATCTTCATGTCCTCCATGAGCGGCTTTAGGAACACATCTATATCATTGCCTGGCTGCCTAGGTCTAGAAATAATCATGGTTAGTAAAAGATATTGTGCTTCTGACATAGCCAGGGAGGTAGGTTGTAGATGGTGAGGATGACCGGCCAAGTGCTGTGCGAGCTGCTGAGGTCACCGAACAGATTCAACCCATCGGTACTCAGCGCAAACCTTATGTTCCTCGCCTCGTCGCCAAACACCGGGAACTTGGTGTTGAAACGCTTCCACTGCTTGCCATCGTCCTTCATGCGCTCATCAGATGCATGCTAGGACATCAGCTTGGCATCCTTGGGGTTCCCGAATATAGCACGCAGGCGATCGATCATGGGCAGGTACCACATCGACAGAGCCAAACTTTTCCTCTGCGTGTAACCCTCTTCTTCCTCGTCCTTAGGAGATGGGATCTGCTTCTTCGCGGTACTCTTCTTGGCCATCTTCTTCTTCTTTGGCCCTCTCTCATCGTCCGCATCCACGTGACAACCGAGCATTCCTCTTGTACCGACTCGCGCCACAGTGTGGATAGCTCTACAAAATTCTCATACTTGCCCCGATATAGGAAACAGTGGTTAGGGCAGGTGTGGAACTTTTTAAGCTTCATCGCCATTGGCCGGATCAGCTTCTTCGCTCGGTAGGTATTGGCAGGCACCTTGTTACCCTCTAGGTATGTGTCAGCAAGGATACGTAACATGTCATTGAAGCTAGTGTCGGACCAACCATGGCGAGCCTTCAGCATCAGCATCTGGAGATTAAAACGCAGCGCCATCCAGTGCTTTGGACAGTCCTTATAGAGGGGATCAATTGCCGCCTGCTTCATCTTTCTGAAATTCTCCAGCCACCTCGGGCTCCCAAACAGAACGTCGTCGTGGTCAAGACAGATAGCGATTGACTCAAAAAGGTCCACGGTCTCGGGATCCCTCATAGGCTCACCGCCATCCCCATCATCGCCGCCCCCACCGCCGTCGTCATCAGCCGTGTGTTAGAGCAGATCATCCATCGTGATGTAATCACGATCTGCATTATTGTTGCCGGTAGCAGCATTACAGTGCCCGCCGGCAGTTGCTGATGAGGTTTGTTGTTCTGCATTCACCGCTACCGTTGTCGTTGTCGACGAATTTCCTCCAGATGCACCGGTACTCAGATCCTTTGCTTCCTCGTGAAACTTCCAGATGGTGTAATCCTTGACAAAACCATACCGGACCAAGTAAGATTTCACCACGTTATCTTCGTGCATTAGAAGGTTCTTGTAGCTCTTACAGGGACAGACGGTGTGTTCCCGCTTCAAACCTAGACGATGCCTTTTCGCAGCGGCTATAAACTTTGTCACATGTTCTAGGTACGAAGGATGTAGCCTCGATGTCTTGTACATCCATTCCCTACCCATGACCGTGAAACCTTGCACATACAAATGTCTTGTACATCCATTCCCCGCTTCAGGCTTCAGTGTGCGCGTCCATCCTCTTCCCCTCGCTGGCTGAAAATGCACATGGTGCACGTACGTATGGTTTGTTGGTGATAATTGTGTGAGAAGCGATGTCCGCTGGGGCTGCAAGTGTGCGCGGCTGGTGAGGGGCTGAGGGCGGACAACACCGACAGCGCAGGGTGACAGCTCTCCTCTTTCGGTACTGGTGACGCGCTGCGGCGTGGGCTGCAAGGATCCATGGTCCGGCGAAGCCATCTCCCTGGGTGTCTACCTGTGTGTGTGTCCAGCTAGCACACCTCCTGGGCGCAAGACTGTTCATGCTTGTTGCTTGATCTGCCATGCTTTGGGGCCCTCGAGCACACAGGAAGGACGTACAGGAAGCAAAACCCTTAGGTATCATCTCTCAGCTCAGCTTGTTCCACGTCTGGAGGCAGAATTATATATTGTTGAATGGAAGAAGAGCGGGCTACGGAAGGGATGTGATGGGGCAGAAAACGGAACCTGGCGATGCGACTTCTTATTGCTTGACGTTTTACTAATGCATCTAATGCCAATACCGGCAATATATATTTTAAGTCTGTTTGGTGCTTCACTAACGTAACTAATGCCACTACCGGCATTATTTCTAAATTCTAAGCGACCTACAGCCCACGAGAGGTAACTGCTCAATCAAACTTAGAACGTGATGACTTCGGCTGCTGCACGAGGACTTATGGTGGTGGGACTTCTGGACGACGTGGCTTCACGAAATCGCTGGAAAATAGGTCAGTGAGGTTCTCTTCTCTCTTCTCCTATTTAGGTATAGTAGAGGTATAGTAGATTAGGTGAAATAATTTGTTAATATATTTAAGTCTTTTAACTTTTTGTTTCTTGTTTGATATTGTAGGCTCATTTTAGAACTAACAAATTAAAGATATATGAGAATGCTAACGTTGGGTGTTTTCAGCCACCAACATTTTTTTACTTTATATTCAATACATTTTTTTGTATTTGTTATCTCATAAAATTTTCACTTTTCATTTAGTTTTCTTCGATGGACCATTTTTGGAGTTTACGGCGTAGTTTCTACTATGATTTCCCTGCACTTTATAGATGAATGAAAATTCTTAACTCGATTGTCATTCATTCATATTTCAGTAATTCGAAGTTGTAGAATGACCAAAAAATAATTATATAGGTCCAATTCTCCTAGCATTAATAATGCGATAATGATACCCTCAGGACGTCCATCCTTTCTAGATGGGACGGGCGCGCCTCCCCCACGCCTCGCGTCGCGCGCCCCCACGTCTCGTTCCTCGCGCCAAAGGACGGGACGGACGACTCGCCTGGCCTCGTGTCGCCCCCCCTGCGCCTCGTGCCTCGCGCCAAAGGACGGGACGGACACACCTGCCCCCGCGCCTCGCGTCGTGCACCCTTGCCCGTGACTTGTGCCTCCCGCCGTGTCGCGATCTATCCGCCTGTCGACCGTGGGCGACCTCAAGCTCCACGCCTGCGTCGAGCTCCGCGTGAACGAGCCTCCATTGTGGTGCAGCAAGTAGAGGAGCACATGTTGCAACCACATGTTTTATGCATTTCAAATGTATGTTGCATATGTTTCATTTAGATATTGCAAAAGTAGATCTGGTGTTGCATATATTGCAATAACTATACACGTATATTGCAAGTGTATGTTTTTAAATGTTTCAGATGTTTTAAATGTATGTTGCAAGTGTTTTATTTGGATGTTGCATATGTTGCACGGGCTATACACGTATGTTGTAAGTGTATGTTTCAAACGTATGTTACAGGTATTTTATCTGGACGTTGTATATGTTGTTGTGCTCATACACATATATTGCAAGCGTATGTTGTAAATGTTCATCTATTTTGGACGTATGTTGCAGCAAATGCTTTTATGTTACGAGTGTTTCATTAGCAGGCGCGGCTAGGGGGCACAGGCAGAGGTGGTCCCCTCGAACATAGCAAGTGCAGAGCACAAAGCGGCGTGAAGCACGAAGCTACATCCATGCTCGACTGCTCTCTCTCGCGCGCGCGCGCGCCTTATTCCAGCTAGATGCGGCCGGTCAGCAGCAGCATCACACGCCAGCAGCAGCATGCGGGCAGCAGGAGTGCGCGGCCAGGCATGGCCCGTCGCTGCTGCTCCTGATGGCGCAATGATTTCCAAGCGTGCACGGTCAAATCAAAACCCAGCAGCAGAGGCACGGGGGGAGGAGTACGCGCAGGTGCTGCGCGGGAAAGCCGGACACGGGGCAGGCAGTAGGCACGAGGTGTCTGGACGCGCTGCTAGCGCCGGATGTCCATGCGCTAGACGTCCCGTTAATAATGTGCTAGAACCTGATAGGCAAAAGACAAAACATCTGGCTATAATCAATAGATAGAAACAATTCCACATTTTTCATTCATTAATCACGCATAACATTAGAGCATGTCAGCTGGTAGCCATGCGCATCATGATTGTCAATGGTAAAACGTCATGATCCTTTTTTTAAGAAAAAACAGATTTTCAAACGTTCCATTAGACACACCATAGAATTATTACCTGACGAATGCTACGAGCGTGCAATGATAGTTTGTACATCCAGTGGTGTGTACCAGCCTTTTGCATATGGATCCTTGGCACCAAAAAAACAGAATACAGTAAGAGCGAAACAATATTTACAAACGCACGACAGAACCATGTACTGATGTATGGGTGTGCCTCCTGATATAAAAAGAAAACCGAGAGCAACTGAGGCTCATTATATATTCATATGGTTCTATCAACAAATCGGATGTGAACTGAAGCATACGAGGTGAAAAGCTAACTACAAAATCCTGCCGAGTGTGAAGCTGGACAGGCAGTCACCGCTTCCTTTTTGCTCTACTCATGCCTCGTTTGGCCACAGTTTCGGTTTTCAATTTAGCAGCACCTCATTTGGTTCCAGATGAACCTTTCTTCTTGTACCTGTTGAATCCCCTGCCACTTTCCTGTAAGGCACATTGAGATGGTGTTACCAGCATGCAGTTAAAGAAACACATTTTTTCATTTCCCCAGCACATTAAATTTTATACTCTCAAAGACCATCAGTTCTGTCATCAATTTTTAAAAGATCCTAAGAAAGTTTGGTTGAGGTAATGCTCATAGAGAAATAGCAATGCCAGCTACAAATGATGGATACCATCATGCCAAGTGAATTCTTAATAATTCAAATCCCTAATCAAACACATCATTGCAGGAACATATACATATTTGTAAGCAGGGGATATTTAAATTTCAGTAAGTGCATTATCTAGTACCAACATGAATAAAAGCACCAATCACAGGAAAAGACAAGCATCACATTACCTTTTTGATATTGTTGATAGGCATCGCGGCAACTCATGCCCATTTTTTGAGACACAAACCTGTAGCAAAAATTCAACGAAGCGAAATTATGATTGAATATGTTTTCTTCAAGAAGAGGATAAAAGAATAATCTTGAAAAACATTGAAATGCAAGCTAGTATGCATCCATACTGAGGAAGCACAAATTGGCCAAACAATTTCTATTGTCTAAAAGTTTTTAAACAAGTGAACCAAAACTCTGAAGTATAGCCTTACCTTTCTCCCACTGTCATCAGTAAACCAATGGCCAGAACCAGAATGGGTTCCACTGGCATGCACCCTTCTTTTGCTAGCATCAGATGGAACTGAGATCCTCCCAGGAGTCACCCAGTCATCGTTAGCAGCTGCACTCGAGTTGAATTGCCTCCTGCATTAAGATAACAGAAGAAGTTAGAACCAATTAGCAAATGGCATTACTCGAATGATTAAAAACTAAAAAGCAATGACCATGATGTGCACCTACAGCTGTTGAGACTTTCTGCTCTGTTTTGCCCATTTTCTCTGGTACTTCCTGCCCCAATGGGAATGAAATGTTGTAGCCTGTTCTGGAATAAATTACCCGTCCTTGGGTCAGGGTGGAACAAATAAGGCATAGCAGGAGGACCATCATCTAGTTCTGCTCCACTTGAAGACATTTGTTGCTGGAAATGTCCAGAGTACTTAGGTTGAGAAACCTTGTAATGAGTGTAGCCTTCTTTCTGCTGAGTGTTGCCTTCTTTCTGCTGAGAAAATCCTGCATCTTTTGGAGATTTGAAGTATTCATTGCAGAACTCCTCCAAGGCAGATGTTACTCAATTGTCATTCATCATAGCTCCGCTCTTCTGCACAGTACTGTTCCTTTGGGGCTTCCTGTTTTGCTGTAGGGTCTTTGCTTTACTTTGACTGTGGTCATCGTCAGGATCAGTGTTAGAATCAAGCAAATAGATTTTCCTCATCGGGCTTACTGTTATGTTATCTTAGGAAGCAGTTTTTTTTTGCAGCTTTCTTCATTACCTTGCTTCCTAAGAAGGTTGATGCTGTCCATGTCAAGGATTACAGGCCAATAAGTCTCATTCATAGCTTTGCAAAGCTTGTAGCTAAACTTTTCGCAAATGGGTTGACCCCTCACTTACCAAACTTGGCGTCCATTAATCAAAGTGCTTTTGTGAAAGAAAGGAGCATACTAGACAATTTTCTTTTGAGCAGCAGCTGGCCAAGGCTTTACATAGCAGGAAAGAACCCCATATTCTTCTAAAGTTATATATTTCAAAGGCTTTTGACTCTGTTTCCTGGTCCTTCTTACTTGAGATTTTGCAACATATCGGTTTTGGTCGTATGTGGTGCAATCTTATTAGCCTGCTGCTGTCCACTTCTACTCAGATTCTGCTCAATGGCAACCCAGGAGAAAGTAGTTTTCATCATTGTGGGCTTCGTCAAGGGGATCCTCTTTCCCCTATGCTTTTTAATCTTGGTGATGGAAGCTCTGAACTCAAAAGTAAATCATGCAACTAGAGAGTTTCCTACAGCCCATTGCTGCCCAGCTAGCAAAACACCGACTCTCCTTTTATGCTGATGACGCGGTGTTGTTCCTTCGCCTACAAGGATGGATCTCTCAGTGGTCAATCAACTCCTCGATATTTTTGGTCATGCCACTGGACTTCAGACCAATATGGCCAAGAGTTCTGTAACTCCAATTCAATGTGGGGCTGAGGAGTTGAACACCATTTCAGATCTGTTGCCCTGTGTGATCAAGGATTTTCCATGCACTTATGTGGGCCTCCCCCTCTCCATACGTAAGCCTACAAAAGCAGATCTGTTACTGCTAGTTGACAAAGTGGCAGACCATCTACCGGGATGGAAAGTTTCACTCATGAATCGGGCTGGTCGCCTCATGCCCTCATCATGGTTCGAGTGGTTTTAACCTCCATTCCTATCTACCTTATGATTGCTTTGGATCTTCCCAAATGGGTTATATAGGCTATTGACAAGAAAAGATGTTTCTTCTTATGGAAAGGCCGAGAGAATGCCAAATGGTGGCAACTGTCTTGTCTCCAGGGAGAACGTTCAGCAACCAATTCAGTTTGGTGGCCTTGGTATACACAATTTCGAGCAGTTAGGTCGGGCCTTGTGCATTTGATGGCTTTGGTTCGAAAAGACTGATGCCTCTTGTCCTTGGGCTGGCCTGCCTACTCAAGTGCCTCATAATGCTAAAGCTCTGTTTGATATCGCGGTTGACTCCATTGTTGGTAATGGTGAAACAATTAAATTCTGGTCTGACCGTTGGTTGCAAGGCAAGACAGCCACTGAATGGGCTCCTAATCTGATCAAGCTCATACCAAACAGAACCTTGAATCAAAGAACTGTGGCACAAGCTCTAACAAACAGAAGTTGGGTGGCTGATATAAGGGGTGCTCTGACAGTACAAGTGCTTATTGAATATTTACAGTTGTGGGAACTGGTGGATGACTTGGCGCTGCAGCATGACACTCCTGGTCAACATCGGTGGCGCTTAACCGAATCAAGTTTCTACACCAGCAAGTCTGCCTATACCTTCTTTTTCACGGGCACAATTAAATTTGCTCCTTGGAGGCGTATTTGGAAAAGGTGGGCACCTCTTAGATACAAATTCTTCATATGGCTGGCAGTCAAGAACCGGTGCTGGACAGCTTACAGGTTAGCCAAAATGGGTTTGCCTCATCCTGCTTCATGCCCTCTTTGCGACCAGGCAGAAGAAACTATTCAACACACCCTTGTAGGTTGTGTGTTTGCGCGACAGGTATGGACAATGATTCTAAACAGATTGGGACTTCTAGCTATTGCTTCTCAGCCAAGAGTGACCCGTTTCTCTAACTGGTGGTGCCAAGCAATCAAAGGGGTCTGATAAAAAGATGAGAAAGGGGCTGAATTCTTTGATTATCCTGGTCGCTTGGGAAATCTGGAAGCATCGCAATGTATGTGAGTTTGAAGGCACTTCTCCTAATGTCCAAGAGGTTTTACATGCAGTGGCAATTGAAGGTTCTTTATGGTGTATGGCTTGGAGCCTCTGTTCTTCAATAGCTGCTCCTTCAGTCGCTAATCACTTAGCCATGAGCCTCTGTGTGTTCCCTTGTGCTGTGGGTGTGTGTGGTGTCCTGGAGTCTCTCTCCCTTGTACTAGGAATGGGCTCTTGACCCTCCTATGTATTATTTTTTCTTCTTAATGAAATGACATGCAGTTCTTCAGTGTTGTTAGAGAAAAAAAAAACCATACACAGCCTGTATATAAGAGCCATGAGTTGGGGGCCCTTACAACCCTGGGCCTTGGGCTTAGTTAGCCCATTACCAGGCCTAGACATGACATGTCAAACCAATTCCTGTTATGAACGATCCCATTGGATAATCCTTATGATAAACAAAAAGACAGTTGTGATGAGTTGTGAGTAGGACCAATGAATTGGTTTGTTTCAACATACAACAGCAAACCCATGGCTCTTAACTTTGGAGATATATCTCTGAATGAGCAAAAGACTGTGGATCCTTCATTGCCCAGAAAGCTTAAGTCTGTTACCTGCTGATGGAACCAAAGGGATAAGAGTCTGTGGCTTTGTGCAAATCAAATCACCTACACCAGCACACATCAGTGTTTCTGCAAGAGAGGCTGTCTTCAGGCAGTGAGACAACCCCCAACAGCAATCAGCTTGCTCTCTGTTGAACAAGAAGGTAAAATGAGTCAATGATATCAAATACAAGACCCTGAATACTAACACTTTGACACACACCTCCCATATGCATGGCTCAAACAACTGGAATCACCTCATTACAGCCCAATGGATGTGGCACAGCATGGAATCAGGAGCATCGAGAGCTCCCCAAGGCCCAGGACACCCAAGAGCTTACCTGTTTTCTTGCTCTTGGTTGTCTGAGAACACACTAGTTGCAGCCACAAAATGAACCAGTAAACCCTCATAAATGGTGCAGGTGCCAGTGCCACCGCCAACTTTGCCAGGATGGTGTTTGCACAGCTCCATTGGTTGTCGTTGATCCCAACGCTGAAAGTACGTGCATTTTATTCTTCTCCTTGACCCTGAGAGGGCAATCTTTCCATGCTCCAGGTGCCCGCATTCCTGACATAGGCCCACCGATCACTAGCACCAGTAACCGAATCTGGTAGGATCCTAAGAACACAACTGTCTGCAGGTGGTTAAATAAACATAATTATATATACTAATTTTTTAGTAAATTCATGAATCATGATTGACAAGGGTAAATACAACTACAAGAAATTATTACCTTTTTGTTGGCATGAAGCTCCTTCACTCAAATGACATTCATCAACACACAACCATTGGACATCATAAATATGAATGAGCCTTTCGATGTCTCAAGGTTCTCTGATGTAATACTGAAAAGGTCAGTACATCTGGCTTCATCCCCTTATCTGTCATTTCTTGTAAAAGATCTTCAGCCTTAGCTATTTCTCCCTGGCTACAGTATCCATTTATGAGAGCTGTGTATGCGTAAACATCAGGGGTAAGTCCTTTCACTAACATCTCATCAAACAATCCCCGTGCTTCATCTAGATATTCTGTTTTGCACTGTCCATCAATCAATACTGTGTAACAGGTTACATCAGGTTCAATCACCATGTCTTTCATAGAGCTCAGCAACGTCTTATGCTTTGTTCTAAGACGAAAGCTCCTCCATTCATTAGCGGTACCCTGCCACCCTTGGTGTAGGGTCTCCTTTATGTGGCCATCCAATAGCACTGTGTATGCAACTACATCAGGCTTGATTCCTGAATTTATCATTTGAACAAATAAGTCACATGCTTCTTGCAACCGACCGACCTTGCAATAACCATTCATCAGTACAGTGTATACAATGACATCAGAAAGTCCTCTTTCAACCATATCAAGGAACCATAAGTGAGCATTGTGCATATCTCTTGTCTGACAATAAGCTGATATAAGTTTGCTATATGAAATTACATCAGGAACAACATTCTTTTCCAGCATCATACTACACACAGTTGAAGCCTCCTCAACCTTTTCATCTAAACAGAGGCTGTTTATCAATTTTGAACATGACAAATGATCCACCATATTTCCTTGTTTAGCAACTCTAAGAAAAAGTGTGTAAGCATGGTCAGTCCAGCCCGAGTGCAAATAACCACAAACCATAGAACTGTACAGCACTTCAATATTATCTATCCCTTTTTCTTCTACTATACTAAATAATACCTCTGCTTCGCTCAAGTTGCCCCTCTACAAAAACTAGCAATAGCTACACCATAAGTGAGTGAATTAGGCTCCAACCCTTGATCCATCATGTGCTCGAGAAGGTCATATACCTTAATAACAGCACCATTCCTGTTATATCCACTGGCCAATATGTTATATGTAACTACATCTGGTTTTATATTTTCCTTCAGCATCTGCTCAAATACTTGCCAGGCATTTTCTGTTTCTCCTTTCAGACAGTAACCATTGATCAAGCATGTATAGTGGATTTTGTCCGGGACCAAACCTCCAGCCATCATTTCATTCAGTAGCTTCACTGCCTCATTCATGTTCCCAAGCTTGCAATAAGCATCCATAGTAATGTTATAAAGCACACCATCAAGATGGAGTCCTAAATCTCTAAATTTCTGGAAGTGAACAATAACTTCAGATACCATGCCTAGCTTTTTGAGGCACTGTAGAAGGTAACCAACAATGTAACAATTTATCTCGATGCCATGGGATACCATGGCTTCAATATGATGCCATGCCTTTCCTAGGTTACCCATTTTACAATAACTACGAATGAGATAGCTATAACCATATAGATCAGGGGCAGATCCATGTCTGGTCTTGATCTCCAAGACTTTTTCAGCCTCCTCCAGTTTCATTTCTTTGCATAGTCCATCAATTACCATATTATAAGCAATGGACTCAATTGCAACCCTTTCCTGGGTGATCTCATGAAGAACAGCATATCTGCTTACCATGTTATAAGCTTGATCATACTTTCCACAATCACAAAGGCCAATTATAAATGATGAGTATCCATGTACATCTGGTTTCACTCCCATTTCAATCATCCTAACCCACACTTGGAATGCTTCGTCTACCTTATTTGCTTCAAAAAACGACCTAGTGACTATGTTCAATGACTGAGCATCCAGCGTCAACTGAAAGCCCTTCATTCGATCATAAGCTCCGACAACCATATCCGAATCACCACTCTCAGATACAAATTTGAGCAGGAAATTGCAAGCCCAAAGTGTAGGAACAAATCCAAGCCTGCAAAGGTGACAAAACATCTCTACTGTTTCTTGAGCATCGTGGCTGGTGGTGTATGCCTTGATTAAGCAATTGACTGCATATGACAGTACGTGAGAAGTGGCACATGTTTTGCTCAAGTGATCAATAAGTGTTAAGATTTCTGGGCCACCATTACCAGTTCCCGAGAGAATCTCACAAAACAAGGATACCAGCATCTTCCCTTGGAATGAATGGGATAAAATTTGTATGATCTCTGAGTAGGTTGAGAAGTCATGGTGAAAACCAAGGCTATGTATATCTTTAAAGTAGGCAAATGCAACTGCAGGCTTCCTCCTTAGGCAGCGGAGTGCCTGCACAACACTGTCAGAGCTCAAAGACCGTTGCCGTTTCCGGATAGGCTCATTATCAGGAGCACAATTCAGCCTTTCATCACCGCTTGAGTCATCACGCTGAACTGAAGCAGCGAGTACGGAGTAGGGGCAAGAAGGAACTTCCCAGAGGAAAACCTTCCTGTGCCTGAACCATTCAGCAGTGCATTTGGGCCACCGCGACAGGATCATTGGAGATATAAATCTTTCTGCTCTTCCAACGACCCATTAACCTTCATTGATAAAAGAAATATGCCTGCATCGGAAAAGAAATAGACAAAACATATCAAAATTTTCAGATGGTCCCCATTACCGAACAGGCAAATGTATTATTTGATTTCAATGCTGATTGCACATAATGGTTAAACCCAAGAGATGATTGGAAAAGAGACAGAATTTCTTGTGGATTTCTGTATGTCCATATGATAATGTTACACTAAACCAGCTAAATCAGTTAAAACCACCTAGAGCCTTCTCTTGTAACTGAGGAAATTAAGTACTTTGCTAATTTGCAGAACCGGCTATTTTCTACATGCACTGTTTGGGGTTTCCGAATCCTGGTCCTGGCTAATTCATCTGCAGAAGTCATTAAGGATCAGCCACATGAGAAATTTGTTAAGGTAATGAATAGTGACAGATAGAGCACCATTTCTCCATTAGGAAATTCATGGTAAATTTGGTGATACAGATGCAAAGAGATGTATATAACTAGCATTGAAACAAGTTATTGATCATTTGATCTTCTAGTTTGGTGAATGAAAATATTATGCAACAAACGTTTCAGAACATGCTTTTATGATCATAGAAAAGTTATATTCTGCAAATCTTACTAGCATTAATTAAATCCACAGACTCTTTTTTTTTTGGCTCAGCAGGCCTCTCTAAAAAATTGCAAAAATGACACTCGAAAGATTGACTCCTTGATTATGATGACACTCGGGTGGATGACAAGTGGGTCCATCTGTGTATATGAATGTGGGTCCAGTGTCAAATCTGCAAACGAACGATGTTTCGAGTCCCATTTTTGCAAATTAGTTCCTGGATTCATCTTCGATACATCTTCCCTGATGAGTGAGATATTATTCCATTCTATCCTAGCCTCGTACGGAATGCGATGCAACTCGACTTAATTTTCAAGAACTAATAATCGGCAATCAGAAAGGGATGAATCAATTAATAATACTTCAATGTGCCTACAGCTTACCTGTGCTAAGCAAAGCACTACTGCACTAGCGCAGTGCAGAGGGGCCAACAGGAGAAGGGAACTGCCGTGCGCCGTGCGCTCGTGCCGGATTGGCCCAGGGCCTGGATGCTCCGGACGATGCCGTGCCCCTGGGGCCGCCTCCGCGCCGCCGCGCCAGCCGCCGGAACTCTGCAGGAGTCAGGCGCGCCTGCTGGCTCGCGGTTGCGGATGGGGTCTGCCGGTCTGGTCTCTGGTGGTCTGCCGGCTCGGCGGCTGCCTGCCGAGTCGAATTGCCGCAGGGCGCCGTCGCGGAACACCGACGAGGCGGCGAGGAGGACTGGAGGAGCGTGCTGCGTGCGTGCGCCTGTTTGTGTTTAGCGGGTTGGGCTGGGCCTTCTAGCCTCTTTTGCATAAAGCCGCAAGATGGGCTGCAATCTAGCCCAATCACCAAAATGAGATACCAGCCCAATCAAGGGACCAGCCTCCCTCCCACTCGCCGCGCCGGCCATTTCTTCCTTCCGCCGCCGACGGGGGCCTTCCTCGGTTCCTCCCTCTCCGTCCTTGCCTTCGCCAGATTCGCCGCCGCACGCTGCAGCTCAGGCAGTCAGACTGCAGCGCCGCTCCTCCCTTCCCCTGTCTAGTGGAGTGGAGATCCGTCGGGGCGTGGAGGATTGGTTTCTTCTTCTTGACCTATTGGTAAGTTAATCACATGGATTCTTCAAGAGTTCTTCTGTCCCGGGGCACCTTCGCCTTGTCGTGGCTGTGAGAAATCGAAGCCTTTATTTCTCTTCGTTTAGCTAGCTGAGAATTTGCTTCCAGCCCGTGATGCATCATCCAATAGCACTTGCTGGTGGTACCCAAAGATGAAGTGTGCACTTCTATTTTCCAGAAATTGTGACGGGTTTAGGTTTTGGATGGCCAAGCTGTGCGCATTTGCTGCTGGCATATTTTGGCCACGATAAAAGCACAATAGCTTTTTTTTTCTCTATGAGAATGGATTTGTGTGATTGTGTCACCAACTAGAATACTAGATAATGAATTTCTTCACTGAGAAACGGTCCTCTGTAGTGCTATTTATTATCTTGATTGGTGAACTTTTCGTGTGTCCATTTTCTGTGGTTTATCCAGGATTTGGAAATTTTCACACAGTACATGTAGCTAGTAATCTGTTTGTACAAGTACTTTATTTCTGAGTGGTTCTAGCTCTTCTGGCTAGTCTACTATAACATTATTACTACTGCTGCCTCCAGTCAAAAAAAAAAAGATGTTTAAGAAGGCAAATGACTTTCTCGCTATTTGTTTTTCTTGTCTGAAACAACAGAAAGTAAACCCTAGTCTGTTTCGATTCAGGAATACAAAGTCTGAGACCGTTTGTGCTATGCTAAAATACCATTGGTCTGTCTATTCCCTTCCCTGATTTGTGACCCCCCTGTCTTAGCAAGTAACTTGGATTGGGGTTAAACTTTAAACACACCATACTCTATTTTGCTTTCTATAAAGCAGCACCAAAAGGCTTTGTTCTAAATATGGAGATATAGGAATTAAATAGAAAATTTTCTCTCCAACCATATCTTAGATTTAGTTAACCTTTTTCTGCAACCCACATTGAATTTGTCATGTTGCATTTGCCTGCTCTATAATGGGATTACAGAAACCATCTAAAACAGAATCCTGAATTCAATGATATTTAGTTCAGTTACTTTTATCTAGGGGCCTTTTTTATCTGGTGTGACTCTGGAATTTTAAGGTCTTCACAATTGGTGCACACGTAAAAGTTCTGTTCTATATTTTTGCACTCTAGGGAGTAGGGATAATCGATAAATAGTGGAAGTGGAACTTATTAAGGTGGTAAAAGTTGTGTTATAGCCATACTGTCATGTTGACTGTCTCAAGTTCTCAACTGTCCCAGTCTCACTGGCAAAGGTTTGGAATTTGGATGCTATGCTCTCTGCATAAATATCTATACCGATTCTCCTGGGTCCTAGGTAAAACTTTGTTATGTTATAGATTTCTGCTCAGTGTGGAAAAAAGGGAAGAAAGTAAGTGCTGAGGTGAATCATCTTTGTAGCTTGTAGCTACTATTGAAGCACCAATTTTATGGCACAACAGTTTTGTTCTGCATTTAGAGCATGTCTGGTTTAATACTTTGATCTATGCTGCAAGAATATTTATAGTTCATAAATGGAGAAAAAGGATACATGAGTAGAATGATGAGCTTATAAGGAGGCACTTCATCTTCTTTACTAGTAACACTTGACTTGGTCACTGTTTTTCTTGCACATACACTTTTACTTGTATTAGATAGACATGCACGTATAATTAAAGCATTCAAACCCTGTGTTTTCCTTAAAGATCATTATAGTCAAACCATTCAGCTTATCTTCTAGTCAAATAGTAATATCTCTTCAGTAGAGCAGATGCTTGTACCAGTGGCAGAACCTGGAAATTATCATGAGGGGGCTGGATAAACATAATCGTTATCTCACAATATAGGTCGTCAGTAAATATAAGAATAACTGTATATATGTTTAACCTTTCATTCCTTTGGTGTTTATTAGCTATTAAGATTTCATGACATAATAAAAAAAATACAATTTTAGGATACATAATACATATAAAACTAAAATCAAAACAGAGAAAATATGGCCTGGGTAGCCAATCGATCAGGTGTCATGCGGTGTAGTGGTGCATTGCACCAGCCCAACCATGGCTCCGGTGTCAGTTGTTGCGTGTAGCCTTTGCCTAGCGTTGCTGCTTGTTGCTGGATGCAGTGCCTGCAGTAGCCCTGGCACTCACCAGTAGATCTTCCCATCCATTGTTACCTAGGTTAATTAGTTGGTCTGTGAAGTTAAAAGCATCTAGTTCATTATTCTGTGTTTACTTCTGGACTCGTGGCTATGTGGGCTCCCCCCACCCCACCCCCTGGTTCTGCTGTTGGCTTGAACACCTATCTTGGTTGATTCATTAAAAAAAATAAAGAACACCTATCTTGGTTGATGATGTGATAATATTGTATAGCACAATGTTGTTAAGAATGCTTTTCTTTTCATTTCTTGTGAGAACACTTCTTTGATGCTTAACTTGTTAATCCTTCTGCAAAATCCAATTGTGAAACTGTTTGAAAAGAAACATGGCTGGTCGTTGAAGATCAATAGTTTGATCCCGAGTGGTTTGAAGAAGGGGCTTAATTCTGTAGTGATCTTGGGAGCTTGGATGTTGTGGAAACATCATAATGACTTCGTGTTCGACGGTTCTTCTCCTAATGTCCTGCAAACTCTTAGATTTGTCCTGAGGGAGAGTGATCTTTGGAGCCTTGCTGGTGCTAGGGGTTTAGCCCAGCTTGAGGCAGCCATCTTTTAGTTTGCTTGGTCGCTTGGTGGTGGTCGTGTATCCCTGTTTATCTGGTGTGTTTGTAATTTGTTATAGAGCTGAGTGTGTTTATGTGTCTGTGTGTCTGTTTGTGGGCTGCGTGCTTGGTACGCCGGGCCCATGGGTGTGTGTGTGTGTTTGTTTGTACTTCGGTGTTTTCGTTTCTTCTTCTTTATGCAATGTTGCGCAGCTCTCTTGTGTATTCGAGGAAAAAGAAAAAGAAAGCTTATATAAGTTCACCATTGACAGGAATTTTTCTGGTAATCAGCATGGCACTGTCATCAGTGTTTAGGAGAATAAATGTGAAAGATTTGACCTCCAAGGTTTCAGTCTATACCAGTGCTACAGGTGATGACTTTGGCAGCTAATCATAGTATTTAATCCACTTAAATTATATCTGCCTAAAGAATACATGCTTCCAGAGTTATCTGGTGGACTAAACATGATATTTAGGCGCTGGGCCACAAAAAAGACTGCTGGGTCAACAAAAAATGGTCGTGATTCCAATCCAAAGTATTTGGGTGTAAAGAAGTTTGGTGGCGAGGTACCACTTTCGAATACTCCATTCTGATTCTTTAAAAGAAAGGCATTATCTTTAAGCATATAGCGAGAAGAACTCTACATGATTATCATCTAAATAGTTAATTTGGCAGTTCCAGTGCATTGCTTTAAGTTTTCCTTTGGCACTTTGGCAGTTGACACATAGTAACATACTTGGCTCCAGTACTATGATTCAGCATATTTATCAACGATTCGTTGTCACTTAATCTTCTAAGTTTTTGTCTTATGTTATCAAGGGTTGGACACATTGAACTCTTACTGCCGCTATGCTCCCTATCTGATGACAGTTTTTTTCCTCAGAAAGTGCTACCAGGAAACATCATCGTCCGCCAAAGAGGGACCCGCTTCCATCCTGGAAACTATGTTGGCATGGGCAAGGACCATACACTTTTCTGCCTGAAAGAAGGCCATGTCCGCTTTGAGCGCAACAAGCTCTCAGGCAGGAAATGGGTTCATGTTGATCCAGTTGCTGGTCATGATCTTCACCCCATTTACGCAGATGGTTTTGCTACTACAGCCGACACTGAGCCTTTGCAATAAATGTGCTTGGGGGTTTGGGGTGTCATTTTGTCCCAACTCATTCAGCTGCCATTTTACAGTTTCATGTGTAAACTTTAGCAGGCTTGAGTGTAGCTGGACCTTTTCTTTGTAATCATAACTACTCACTTTGAATAATATAAGTTATACTTTGTGATCTTTATTCTCATGGTTGCCTTCAAATTTCAAATGTGATGTCACTACAATGGAGTTTTTATCATTATAATACAGGGGTTGTTTCACCATTTCTACATGTTCTTTCTCATTAGTTGTTCGATTATTCTGAACATGCAATTTGCATGAGACTTAAGTGCTATGTTATTATTTTACTCGGTCGCATTTTAAATTTTGTAGTTAATATTGTTGTCTACTAATTGCTTGCTTTAGCTAGGTATTGATATTCTAGGTTTTAGGATGTGTTTGCTAACTAGTGTACTTCGCATGGGATGTGTGTTTGGTTTGTTGAATGCAAGGCTGGTGAATATGTATTTTTCTCGTGCATAAAATCATGGCATGAAGGGCAGGCCTGGTGCAGTGGTGAGAGCTGTCTCACTGAGTTATCAAGTTGTGGGTTCGAAACAGTCTCTCCGCAGATTTTGCGGGGGGAAGGCTTGCCTCGGTTTTTTTCTTCCCCAACCCCCACTCATGTGGGAGCCTCCGGCACTGGGTCTACCCTATAAAATCATGGCATATTTTGCATAATGAAATGATATGAAAGAGCATGTGCACAGAATATAATATTAGAATTTATGGGAATTTGGCAGCCCATAAAATTATCAAATAATTTTCTCAGGGTGAACATGTTAAGGGTTGATGTGTTCAAGATTGAAAAATTATTTTGTATGCAACGTTTCTTAATCGATTGATGTATGTATAATGCATCCTAGATAATATAGAAGGAAAAATGTTACACGAGTTCTTTTATCTGTAATACTAATAAGTTGAGTGCTGATCATTACAATTTAATACTTTGTTTGGATATGTAAACCATATGCATAAGATATCTTGAAACATGATAACGGTGATCGTAGAATCATGATAAAATGATGCGTACAAGATTAACATTTGAATACCCTTAGAGAGAGTGTAGTCTCCATAATGTGTTAGTGATATGAGCCACTAAACAAAATTCCTTATCTGATGAAATTTCAAATGATTCTATAAAGATTGTTAAAATTCAATTTAAAATTTAAGTTATATAGTACAAGAGTATCATTTTCTGAGGTACATACCATTGTGTACTACATGTGGTAGTACAATATTGGGCTAATGTTATTTCTAAATGTAACAGAGGCATTTGTAGTCTTATTTATTGAAGTGAGTTTCAAACTAATTCCAAGAACTTTGCCTCCAATAAATCTGAGGTATAGTTTGGAGTTTGGACCAAATGATTGATTTCACATATTGGATGAAATGATTGATTTCACATATGTGCATGAAGATCATAAATCCATATTGTTGGACAAATGTCAGTTTTATTGCTATTGTCAGTTTTATTTAAAAATGACATTTTGTGTTTTTGAGATCCATTTATATATGATGTAAATCACCATGATATTTGAAATCGTGGTAAACGGATTGAATGAGTGATCCTTTATATTTTAGGTAATGTTACATTGTCTTGACAACTTTGATAAGGGAGCTGCAAAATAATACATGGACCTTGCTCCTTTGAGCACTAACAATTACAGTTGCATACAAATCTGCATGTGTATGCCAATAGGCATTTTGGTTGGAATTTAGCTTGAAGTGGCACCGATGCCACGAGATCCTAATATTTTGGTGATACTTGATAGTGCCCATGTCAGAAATTAATTCCATTCAACACTAGTGTAGACAATCTTGTTTTAAATTTTTTTTTTTTTGCCAATGGTACATGAATTGATCATGTATTTAATGATTTTGCTTTGAATAGTAAATTATATATAGCATGAAAATGCAAAATTGAAAGCCAAGGTAATATTTATGCCATATAACGATGTAACAAAGTTGTTGCTAATGTTTTGGATTCTATTCTTTTTGGAAAGTAATGACTTTAATACGCACGGTCGTATTTTATCTAGCCGCACGCACACTCACTCACACACTCACGCACCGCGGCTCCTCCCTCCCCACGCGCCGCGCCTCCTATCTTTCTCCCCTCCGGTGGCGGCGGCTCCTCCCCACAAGCCCGACACAGCTCCTCCCGACGCGCCTAACGCGCATGCTGCTCCTCCCTCTCTCTCCTCCGGCGGTGGCGACACTGGTGAGGTAGGCGGCTTCCTCCTCCTCCTAGATCTATGAGTTATGGTTCCAGCGAGCTCTCCCTCTCATCTTCCCCAACTTTGGCGGGCTTAGAAAGGGAAGGTTTGGGGAAAGGAAGGCCGGCCAGGCGATAAGGATGGCTAGAGGGTGATTAAGTGCCCTAGATGCGGCGTAGGCGATCGGGCCAGGTCAGGGCGGGGGTGTCGCGATGGCGCTAGCCACCGAGCATGGCCATGGCCATGGCAGTGGCGGGAGGGAGGGAGGGGAAGAAGGTGGCACCACGAGCACGGCCACGAAGCTCCGGCGAAACCCTAACTCGCTCGCGGCGGGACGGTAGTACCGTGACGGTGGGACAGCAGGAGGAAAAAGAAGCAAGCGTTTGGGCAGGAGGAAGAAGAGGAGCGCGCGCGGGCTGTGCAAAGTGGCTGCCCTAACACAGTAACGGACAGCCGCCCGTGCGTTAGTTGTGTATTTTTGGGAATAGGTGGTGTTAATCATTTCCAAAACATAAGCTATGTGTGCATCTGATAGAAGATAGCGCCCAAGGTAATGCATTATCTAATGCTATTGATTTAATTAAGAAAATGGATACTTAAAATAATTTAAATTCAAGATGAGTCGGTGTGCGATCATTGGTGGCAACGGGTGTAACAGGCCTTTGCTTCAGCCGATTAAAATATTTCTATTTTGCACCAGCCGATGAAAATATTAATTGGACGTGCATCTATTTGCAAAAGCCTAATTACAGTTGCAATGATGGCAATCGATGCCCAAACAGAAGGCACTAATGCGTGATTCACCACAGGTACATAAAGAAAAAAAAAAAAATATAACGCCATTTTAAAAAAAAATTCTTTAGAGAAGGAAAATGCAAGTAGATTTATATCATTCACAAATGCAAGTAATAAACACGTATTCACCTTGATATAACGCCATATAGGGAAAAGCACTTCAAAAGAAATCTAAAGACACCACCTTGATTTTTACCAATACATGCAGAACAGCAGTAGATTTGTACCAGTCAAATGCAAGTAATAAACACGCAGCACATAGGATTCTATTGTAACAGATGCACATCTTATATTTCCCAATGACTGCGTCAATCAGTTATAGACACCCAAAAGAGAGTCCAAGAAAAAAAAAAAGTCTTGGCATTCTACTGAGCTACAAAATTTCAACATCATGTTACAGAAGACAGCTCAGAGCAACCACAGCAGCTGTTACCACAACAACAAACTCTTACAATTTGTTAATAGACATTATGACACACTGCAACTTTTTACACTTGATGGTGCCATAATTGCTTGTTATCATGCGCATAAGGAGTAACTGCACAGGTGAAGGATGGAGTGAATTTTAGTTTGATGGCTTCAGGGACTTTTTAGGGGGAGGTGGGGTTGACTAGGATTAATGAATATATATAGATGGATCTGAATAATGTATGGTTACCATGAAGGTTTCGAAAGAACTTATTAATATATGGTTCCACAGTAGAATTAATTACTGCAGAAAATCATGCAACTCTTTTGAACCTGATGATGAAAGAACTTGGCGACTAGTGACATGACAACGCACAATGGGTGAACCAGTCACAGACTGGGCAGGAAGAATCCCCATCTAAGGTGGTAGCAGCATAGGATGATGTTAGAATAATTCTCTAGGCAGTTTTTCAGACAGCTGAAATGTTAGAATAGTTCTCTAGACATCCACCAATGATGGTCACAGATACTTGCAGAATGTTCAAAAAAATTGATCTGCATATTGTGATCCAAGAACTTGACTAAGCTTATGTACATGGTTGCTTCTAAAAGTCTAGGGTTTCCAGGCAAGTTTTCAAAGAACTTATATGGTCCTCAGCAGAGTTAGCAGAAAACAACCTCTTTGGAACCGATGATGAAAGAATCAGGTATTGACATGATAAAGTTATAAGAACCGAAGCAAGCAATGGGTGAACTAGTCAGATTGACAAGGAACAAACCCCGCTTTAAGGTCACAGCTAGCAGCATAGGCAAGGCAGAACTACAAAAACTACACTAAGCACCAACTGAATCAGCCAATGGCATTCACCTGGAACCTCACATTCCAAAGAATGTTTGAAACACAGGAATCTGAAGGAGTTTTGGACAAGCCTTTCACGAAAGGGTCATTCTCAGATTCCAAAGAGGGCCCTTGGTACTATTAACCTAATGAATCAGATAGCAGTCAGACAGGATGAAATTATAAGAGCTACAGTAAGCCGAAAGTGAATCAGACATTGAGGTTGGGAAACAGGCCCCTCTACTATTAGTTGTGAAGGAATAATCAACTCAGTATTGATGGGACGAAATTCAAAGAGATATCAGCAAGCAGCAACTAGACCAGTCATTGAGATTGAAGAGTAAGACATGTGAATTATGATGACTATGCCAACACAAATAGGTAACAGTTGAAGATCTAAGGAACAATGAGTGCCTTGTCTACTACTGGAGTACACCTCGCTCAGATATGCATGATAATTATTGGGAAATTGGACAGGTGGAGGAAACACTGCATCCAATGTTCTTCACGCCAGGGAAACTACGGATGGCAGAGGAAGTCAAAAGAGATCAAACTGATGAGATGGTGTTCTCAGACCACAGAAGGAATCCTAGGTAGACATTATGAAAGCTTTGATCAAATTCTCAGCAGACTGCCTCTGTTCAGAGGTTCCAGATATGTAAGCAATATGGTCATGACGAGAGGATTTTGATTCAATAATTTCAATGTGAGCTCCAGAAATC